GGTCTTCCACGTCATTTCGGGTGATATTTCACAACACTCATATTCAAAACTTTCTAATGACTCAGTTGTCTCAAAGATATTCTTCAAAGTCTCCTCAACTGCAAATGACACTGAAGTTTGTTGATAGTCTCTGCGCCGTCCCGAAAATATGCGGAATGTTGGACACGGTAGTCGTCGCGGTGTTCTCCTCTCTTCGATATTTGCGCGTTTGCTAGCTTTAGTTTTTGCAGATCTAGACACGGCTCGAAGTGGAGAGGCCGCCTCTCGATATGTTCCATATTCAAATTCTGTGGTTTGGCAAGCACGTCGCGATCTTCCAGTCACACAGCAAAGTAGAGGCGCAGCTGCGTTTGGTGAAGCAGATTTACGCTTATGCTTTTTATTGGCACGCTTTCGACTTCGCTTCTCTTCCTCGTAGTAGGAATCATTATGATTTCTACTTACTTTACATTGCAATCCTCCCATATCGAAGGCGACTTTGTTGGCGAATACCAATATATTTTTACGGAATATACACGATACGAAAGATACAGCGAGATGCGCGTTACGAGCTGTGTATCAAACAGATTGTTAAATGAAACTGTGTAAATGTCTAAAAATAAGATCCTTTTATACTCAAAGAGTTAATATAAATTCATTTTTTCATAAACGCCGAAAGTGCGCGGCCTTGAATTCTCGATCCTAAATAACAGGCCGAAATAGCGCAGGTAGTCCAAATAAATTGTTTTAGGGTCTTGAAAATTATTAAACCCAAATTACTTTCGAAGTACTAACAGCAAATTTTTCTGTTACTATTTTTAGTTACCCTCATATTTAGAATACCCTTAAATTAAAAATAATATTTTATATTACAGACAAACAAAGAAGATTAGTGAGGTTTTAACCTAAGCATTTTATATAACAAAATTTTAGTTATACGGGTTGAGTTATACAAAACAAAAAACGACAAAATTGCGTCCATAAAAGCCTCAAAAATTAGTTCTACTCCAGACTGATGAAGAAAAATAGTAGGCATTAAAATAAAGCATTTAATTGTGAAATGGATTCAATGTCGCATTTTTTTTATACAAGCCTGGCTTCTATGCTAATAACCTTGAATTACACTCAGTTTTGTGTATCACAAAATTAAAGAGAGAGTGAAGTAAGCATGCAGCTATCTCTTTCTTTCATTTACTACTTGCTTAATTTTTCTAAAGAATTTCTACACTAGAGAGCTGCAACGGGAGTGATCGAGAATGTTCGATCGCATTAGCAAATATTTCATACAACTCAATCACAACACTCGGCAATTTAGTGTTGGATCGAGTAGCACTAAAGCAACGAATATGTTGGAGACGATCAATCACGAGACTCTATACTCGTATACTACATTCGAGTTTGAGCAGATGATATGAAATTTAGTATGTTATACGCATATCTTACTTCTCACTGCGGCTGAGCCTGATTTGATGTGATCGAAGTGAAAAATAACATTCGAGTATAGTCTCGAGTGCACACACAAAAGGCAGACATGTGGGCGCCGTAGCGTCCTTTGTCTAAGCAAATATAATAAATATTAATGAAAAAATTTAAAAATATATATGTATCGCGTTTACTGAATTGTGTAATATTTCTGCAACTATTGTACTAACTAATATAGAACCATTGCAAATTAGGAGAATAAAACTTTGAAATTTAAATACTTAAATTCTAAAATATTAAGAAAAGATTCCAAAGTAAAAGTAATTAATTTTCAAAGAAGTTTATTTAATTAACACAGATAAAATAAATAGCAATCACACACTGAGCTAAGAACAACATGCGAGCATACGAGTTTAAATCCGTGCTCAAAACAAATAAGTATAATGCTGCAACTACCCAACGCGCGTACCAGCCGTCCATAGTAACCTATCTTATGAGAGCACCATGTAAACACAAAGTTGTCACCGCTTGCCCATACCGTTAGTGACGGCTGTTCCGTAGAAACCAACGAAGATTTGATTTTTTCCGTAAAACCGGCTCGGCTCATTTTTCGTTGCTATATAAGGTTGCCAGTATAGCCTTTCTTATCGTAACCTTAAATAATCGAAAATAATGCGTAGTTTTGTTCAAAAGAAATGAAAAATAAATGCGTAACTAATTATTTGTTACCATATAGATCATGTATATTTGTCTTGTGTTTATGTTCAAGCAAATAAATTATGAAATTTGTTGACGAAAATTATGAATTTGTTCAAAAGCATTCACACAGGCAGCTGGCAACATTTCGCCGTTCTCAGCGGCGTCGATAACTCGTGTATGTATTTCACTACTAACGTCGTCAGTTATGGACGGCTGGTAAGGGAAATGGGTAGTTGCAGCCTAAGAATGGCTACATCATAATTCAAATAATTACTCAATACCAGCAGTTGTCCCACTCGCTCTTACCTAAACCGGTTCTCTGAGCCAAAAGGAAGAGCAACCAAGAAAAAATAGCAATACTGCATCCATCGAAACTCGATAACGAAATTTTCTCCATGTAATACAGAGAAGAAGTTTATGTTAGGGTTAAAATTAAATAATTCTTTGTAAAATGAGTTTAATGTCTTTATTTTCTGTCATAACCTTTACCTAATTGCGCTAATAACTGTAAGCTAGGCTCAGTTTTGTGTATCACAAAGTGAAAGAGAAAGTGAAGCAAGCATGTAGCCCCCTCCCTCTTTCATTTACTATTTATTTGTTTAATTTTTCTAAAGAATGTCTACGCCATAACTCAGACATTAACTCAAATGTTTTCTCAATAACAACACTCAATTCGCTCGATCTTAATGAAATCAGTGCTGTGAGCACAGAGGATATACCAACAACATGAATGAAGGAGATAGTGGAATGGACATGCAACTTTATCTTTCTTTCATCTAATATTTCTATAGAATATCTACACTGTAATTCTAATATTAACTCAAATGTTCACTCAATCCAAACAGTTGGCCGAAAGAAAAATGTGAGCATTGCATATACAGTAGGCTTGGTAACGAGTTGAGCTAAAATTTAATGGAGAAGAAGGTTAGGTTAGCGTGAAAATCGTATATTTCTTTGTAAAATGGGTTCAACATTATATATTTCTGTTATGAGCACTGCCTGAGGGCTTAGCCTTGAGTTACTCTCAGTTTTAACACAATCACAATGTGAAAAAGAAGGTGTACTGGGCATGTTACTTTCTCATTCTTTCATTTACCAATTGCCTAAGCCATGATTCAAATGTTTACTCACTACCAAGAGTTGTTTAGTGCTCTGGGCATGGTAAAGTATAGTTTAATCTTCAAAGAAACCGAAATAAGTCTTGAATTTTGAGCACAAAAATGTCGATAACTTCGCTGCTATTAATATTATTTTTTTTCTACATAAATAATTTTTAGATTTGGTTGAAAAAGTCAACTTTCGTTAATAAATATTCTGCCAGAAAAATTGAGAACCTATCTATAAAGCTCTAAATTTCATGTAGTCCCTTCCAAGTAAGTCCTCATTAAGAAGAGGATGGCTTAGGAAAATAAGAAAAATATTTAAAGCTAAACCAGTGGAACCGATGCCTTTGGGGGAGGAGTTGTAGGCGTTTAAAGATATGCTACTTCTTCGTCTTGGAGACGTGAGCCTTTTAGGATTCAGCAGTGGAATAAGCTCACCCACATTTTGTGTTACTTATTTCGGATGATTTCCAAAAATTATCGAATAGTCGTTAGCGTCAAATAGGAGTTACGTTATAGTTTTCTGACCATTCCTTTCAAATGATGAGTAATCTAATAGATGTTCTGGCAACGCCAATACTGAGGAAGAAGAAAAAGAATAGATGTTCTGCGGTCTCTACTTTGACTTTCTGACAGCTCTCAAGGTAATAGATTTGTTGACAGAACCCTTATCGTTAGAACCAGAAGGTTTTCTACGAAATATCCACTTGAAAAACAATGCAATGATCTAGTAGAAGCAGTTTCCACCTCTCAAGTTCAATTATTACGGATTATTATCCAGTTTGTATCCGCTCATTTAAGACCTTATATCTGAGGCTTTATACACTCCATCGCTGTGCCTCATCTCTCTAAAGTGAAAGCCAAAATTAAGCGAAGTATTCGAATTCTTCCCATGAGTTACACAAATTCGAAGCCGAAGGAACCCGATGTGGACATCTGATGAATCAGCGCTGAAATTTTTCTAAAGAAAAGCGTTAATGACCACGAGCTTCTTTGGATAGGCAAACAACTACACATAACCCAACAAAATATAGTACAGCGGTGTGAATACCTCCTCCGAAGACGCGTGAGAATACGGCCACCAAAAGTTATTTTCAATAAATTGATTGTTTCGTTGACTGCATAGCGTGTAGCGACGTCTTATTAAAATCATAGGTCGCCCACATCAACATCTTCCAAAGAAAAAGTTATTAAACCTGGCTCTATAGCTTTGCCCATTGACTGTAACATTATGACCGGCTTCATTTTTGAAGGATTTGGCACCAATATTCTCCTCTGCGTATAGAGCACAGTGACCTTATGTGGCTATAGCCGTGTCCTAGCAATTCCATCGTATCCATTAAGCCAAAAGTGCGACTCGTTGTACCATTCACCGAACGTGGGATGTGATTAGTAAGCCCGCAAACCCAAATGCTTCAAAAGAAAAAGCTTCCATAAAGGATATTCATGTCTGCTCTAGTTCCGAACTCTGTTCAGCGATTATATCGACCGAATGTTGAACTCAGAACCGAATCATGTTTGTGGTAATAAATTTGAATGATTTGAAAACTTTGTTCAGGTGTAAGTTCTTTCATTATGAAATGGCGAACCAAACTCTAAACAAATCAAGTTACGACAGTCGACACACAACTATCGTCGAAAAGACCAACTGCGAAAAGAGTAGTAGAAAAACCACATGTCTAAAAAAACACCGTTTATAATCGAAATTTTCAATTCAATTTTTGTTTTTGCATAAAATTTGTATTTAATTAGTAATAATAATAAAATTAAAACATTTAAATTTAAAATAAATAATAAATTGTATTATTATTCTTACAAGTGGTAAACAGAGAACAGTCGGAAGTTTACATTTCTTAAAACTATTTAACAATTATGCTTAGCAAAAATTTATACCAACTACGGCTACCAAAAATACCGTTAACTCCTACGCATATCCCTCAGCGCACATTTGCAAGCGCTGGGCAACTTCATCGAGCGCTCCTGCATTTCCCCATCCACCAACACCACCAAACTTCTGTACACATAATGCTGCCTACATCGCGACTTAACACCAAACGGCAGCAGATCATCATATTTACAGGGCGCATCTTCATTTGCACACTGCTCCACCACAATGCCCTGCTTGTATTGTTGGTGCTGCACAACCATTAGCCATTTGGATTCGACTGTTTCCGCCAACTTCGGATAAATTAAACGCGTTCTACTCTCACAATAATACGACTCATCGATTTCGTCGCTCATACGATTCGCTATCGGTGTCTCCTGCACGAAGTCATCTTTGAAATATGGACGGAACTTTTCGAAATCATCTTTGGTGAATTTATTCAGTTGGGCGGCTTCCAAATAATTTGCCACTTCTGTGCAAAATGTTTGACCTTTCACCCGCTCGGTGCAAATGACTTCTTCCTCGGCTTTGATATCGTGAGAAGTGTTGTAAACCACAAAACCATCGCCCACTTCAAAGAGATCGCCGAAATCAGCATCCATCTCAATATCCATGCCGTCGACTATTGGGCGAGCAGCGGTGTAAGTAACTAGCAACAACAGCAGCAGCAGGCTGAAGACTCTGCGCCACAATTTCAATTGGAAGCAAGACATGTCTCAAGTTTTGGGAATTATTTAATTGTTGTTGGTTTGAGATTCCAAATTTCCAAATTTCGTTGTTGAGTTTGCTGCGAGAAAATATGTGAAGATTTCCTTTGATTTTTCCAGCGCGTTTCATTTAATCTGCGAGGCCGCACTAAATGCTGGGTTTTTCCCACAACTGAATGAATTCCGTAGAGTATTCGTCTTTTATAGCGCCACACACACAAACTCACACACGCAGGCAAGCTCCTGAAGGACCACGTCTGCTTACAATATGCAAATGCGCATTGTTGAGATTCTTCAAATGGCTATGCACTACACACATATATATATACGTATATATAAATGTATGGATATGACCGTTCGCGTTGTACTTGAAGCAAATGACTTTCACTTAAGATGCCATGCAAGAAGAAAGATCTCAAGTACCTATTGTAGATACATACATACACACATTCACACATATATACATACTCGTGAACATGCCATTAATGATGCAATTAAAAGTGGCGGTGGCGAGCCTTTCTTCAGCCCTTGAAAGGACCATTCGCGCATTGTTATGAATTTCCGCGAATTGCGGTTCTCCTTTGTTGTCGAGCGAGCCATTGTTTCTATATTTGTTGTTGGTTGTTTTTACAGATATTTAGTTTCTTAGCGCATAGTTAATTTTGTGAAGACATATTTGAAATTATAAATTGAGACGCTTGTGAAAAATATGCCAAACATATTTTGGGAAAATAGTGCATTTGAGCAATTTTCGACCAAAAAATAATAATAATGAGATTTAATTTTATTTGCTTGATTATAATCACTGTCGGTCGCAGCAGTCGAATGGTTGGTAGTGAATGCTAATATGCTTTTTGTCATATGTTCGAACACTGGTTGGACCTACATCCAAAATTATGGCGTACTAGCGCTACTCAAGTGTTTTTCAAATTTGGAAAAAAAAATTTTGAAATATAAAAGTTGATTTCGAAACTTTTTTCATTTTTTGGGGAATATTTTTGCAATTTTTTTTACAATACCAATGTTTTCTCAAACGACTGAAAATATCAATAAAATCGCCATTACGAATTATGTAACATTTTTTTATGCTCCATTGTTCATTTAGCATTTTTCGCGTTAAATCTTTAATAAATATTAATAATTTGGTTGTGTTTTTAGGCAATAGTCTGCTTCAAAACATTCAAAAAATGATTTTTTTTTAAATCTATTGCAAGACTATGCTGGAATATGGCTTTAAAATTTCAGCGGCATATTCAATATATTGGAGGTATTGAAAATAGATCTATTCCAACACTATTGTTGTAATTTTTATAACTTTTTCCAAAAAATATTCAGACTATATACAGTTCCATAAAAAACCCAAAAATAAATCTATTATTTTTGCATAAAATTGAGGTTCAATTTTTACTTTTCCTATCCAGCTGTAGTCAAATGGTTCAAAATGGTTTTTAGTGCAATCTTAAGCTCTTGGGTAATCGATCTATTGCCCTAATGACGATTTCCATGATTTCATCGACATTTTCGATAACTGCCCTTTTACATCTTTTACATCAAAATTACCGGAATGAAACCGAAATTTTGCATGATTGACTGTGACAGTTTCAGGTCTATAAACGCCAATCGGCCGCCTGGACTGCGTTATTGCTCTCTTTGTTGCTGTCCGTCTTTGACGCACGCTGAAACAAAACTTAATAAACCAATCACAAAACAGGCTCTATTTTAGTACGAAATATCATCTTTTTAATGGCATCTAGTAAGCCTGATCGGACTTATACAACGCGAAATACAGGTAAATAACGCCTTTCTATTGGAAAAATAATGGATTGCTTTTTACTATACCAATATTTTTCTAGGGCAGAACCATGATACAGAAATTTAAAGGTATTTTCATTCTCTCTTCCCAGTCGACGTCATAGCTATATGACATGAAACGTGTTTAGGATTTTTTGTCCTACCATCTTCTATCAAACAAAATTTACCATTTTTAAATAAAAAATATGAGCAAAATCTTCATATTTTTTAAATGACCAAATATTCAAAACTCACGTATTTCCAACTTCTGATAGTGGACTTCATCGAGTGTATGCCTTTCATGATTTTTGTATTGTATTACAACTTTAGTAAATTGTGGGAAAGTATAGGAAAGAGAAGAGATTCGCCCAACAAAACCTAAATCGAATTCAAGAAGATGAGGAGCTGGATGGACTAGCCATATTAACGTGAGCAGTGCGAGTTCATTATATAAAACCTATAATTACGCTTGAAGTTGATTAATCTTTCAAACACTTTTGAATTCAAACTATCCGCCAAATATATTGATATTGGCTAGTTAGTTAGTCAAAAACCTTGTTTGATCACGGAACCCTTTTGATGATAATTCCTTTGTTGGTTCTGTGAAGAAGATTACTCTCACCTTTTCAGATGCTCAAACCAGTGGGTTATTTTACGAAGTTCAGGAGATTAATGATGCCTATAGATGCAAGCTATGCTAAGCAATCGAAGAAGAAATTTCCGAGAAACCGATAATGGAGTTTAACGGAGTTATGACTATCAATACCCGGTCAGCTCATCAACCCCACAGTTCCCTGGGTGTCCCTATGGTTAGGGACCCAAATCACGAACGTTTCGCATTTAGTTGAGAAAATTTATAAACCTAAGTTTGGAGAAAAAGTAAAACATGACAACTGTTTCCATTTTATTTACCTATCTAGAAAATGCTTTTCAATATTATAGAATCTACTTAGAAAATAATCCCAAAAATAATTAAAAAAAAAAACCTTCACGTTGAAAATTTTATAAGTGGCAAGTTCAAACATTTCTGAGCAACAAAACAAGTTTAGTGTCAAAAATTTCGAAGTGAAACTACCTTTTAAATTTTTGTATTGTGTCAAATATTATTCAAATATTACAAAAGTATTATTTAAACACTTTTTTTCACAACTTGAAGTGAAGTTATTTTTTCGAATTTCGAAACAATTGTAAATTTTCCAACTTCTTCGGTACTTTTTTAGGTCACTCATAGCCGTTAAAAAAAAAAATTTGGTTTGACTGTTTCAGTTGCATCGCACGACTTCCACTACCGGCACCGTTTCACGAGTTCAGACTGCAAACGCTTCAGAAAGCTCATTACAACATTAGAAAATTCCAATATTTTTTGTTGCAAAAAATTTTTTTGAACCCTAAACATAGTACATTATTTTCTCGTTTGCCGCAGAAGTTTCCTTCTGTTCCAAAAAAAATTCTAAAAAACGCTTATTTTCGGGTTTCAAAAGAGAATTCTACCTAAAACAGAGAGCATCCCCATAGACATAGGCATATAGACATCTGTAGGCCTCTAAAATCGGCCTTAGTTTATTACCCCAAATTTAAAATTTCATTTAACTAATCATTTAAATTGTAACAAAATTTTCATGTGGCAACTCTACACAAAAATTCCACTATGAGCTGTTGAAATTTATTGATTCCGATATCCATATTCTCCTATGAATGGATGGCCCCGTGCTCAAAAATATTTTTTATTAAGCCATCGCTTAATGTCTCCAGCTTAACGCTTAAGCTCCCCCAGCCATACCGGCACGAGGGTTGCCATCCGCATGACGTACAAAATTTACCGTGTTTGTTAAGCGTCGAGATTTAAAACTGCTCAGCTACAGACAAACAAAGTCATCAGCTGAAATATACGGTTGATTCTGCTATTAACGAAATTTAGAGAGTGGAAATGGCGCAAAGCAAACAACAAAAATTGTTGAACGGATTAAATTTTATTGTATAAATATGAAGATTTTAATTAGGATTCCAGACCAATGAGCCGTACTCCAATAATGGTCGCACTAATGACGTAGGCGGCCGCGGTAACGGTAGCGAGAGGTTGGTTGGTTAGAGGTGCCACGCCATCTTTTTCGTATTCGAGAAAACACAGAATACCCTGTACGAGTATAATAGCAAAATTATGCTATATAAATTCGAATGAATTTTATGAAGCCGTTTTCGTCTTCTAAAGTAACGCACTTATTTTTATTTATAGGGTAACCATTCTGCAATTCTTATATTTCAGTTATTATATTATAGCATATTATGCTTAAACTACTTCAAAAAATTTGATTTTATTTCATTGTGGTCGCCCCTCGATGAGGTTTGTACTTTAAGCCTCTCTTATTCTTATGCTAGCCCTTCTTCCAAACCCCGAAACACCTCTCAAACTCGGTCTTTATTATATTGTCATCTGCGATTGTAAACAGACGGACCTTTAAGGTTCACTTCATTTCTGGTGTTCGGTCTTGGCGAGCCAGAATGCTTCCTCTGTGATTTGTTGAGCCTTAGTTTCGAAGCCATATCCGCCTTTCGAGCTCAAATAGGAGGATCTTGAAGTGGGCGAGCTTTGATTGGAACCAGAGCGCGCTGCATGTCACATAGCAAAAGAGAGAATTATTTTATGGAAAGGAAACTTTTCCTGAACTCATTATCTCGCATCGTAGGCCTGTGGCAGGGCCTTCAAGATCGTGCAATTTAATACCGCTGGATTGTGTTGTAGGGCGTTACCTGAAGTCGCTTGTACACTTCACTCACTATACGCGAAATAAGGAAGAACTCTGGAACGACCTAGGAGGTCTTGCTGTATATGTAAAGTATCTAATCAGACAGTAGTTCCTACAGAGCTGCAACATGATTAACGCTGTGTAAAATGAAGCTAGACTATTCAGTCATTTTTCAGGATGGTGTTCCATCACCAATCCAATCATCGAAGCAAATGAGCTTCTGGGAAAATTCTAAGGAAAAATACCCAAACTATCTGCCAACGCAGAGGACTAAGCTCTAGTTTTTGCGGGGAAATCCTTATACACCATCAGTAACACAATAGAAGGTGCTCTAGGGATCCTTCAAATTATGTGGAAGCTAACTCTTGAGGAGAGGGCAATACGCATATAAAAAGAAGCAGATCCTCTGATCTCATGCATTGGTGTTGCCCAGGGTTAGTTAAGCCGATATTGCTCTGCAACACTGTGGAGTTTATTGTACAGCATCTAACCGGACGACATTATGGGCAAATCGAATGAAATTGCCAAAGCTGCCTTCCATCTTGCTAGCAACCCAAAGCAAGATATACAAAAGTCGCTGTTACGGTATCGGGAATTTCCGATAGAGCGACATGTAAGTACACCAAGTTCACGCGCAAGAACAGTAAAGTAAGACCCCGTTTATTTTGCCTACACACTCACTTAAGGAATACAGGGTAGTTGTTTGTCTAATGACGCTCCCCCTCGGTGCTTAGCTGTTCAAAGGAGTAAAGGTGGCTTCAACATTTGATATTAAGGCTCTCTAGTACTTCGCGGAAGACGTTGATTTCCTACGCGATAATTACTTTAGATCGCAATGAAACGGACTGCCATCGGGCACTACAAGAGACCAAAGGGTCTATGCATGCCACATTGCCTAGCCAGTGCTACCTAACCTAACCTTCGAATCGATGTCATTAAAAATTAAAGATTCAAATGAATTGAATTTTGTTGTACGTTGATTGGAATTTCGTTCAACAAATTGATGTTTTAAAATATCAACACATACGTGACACGGGAATAACTGCATATATGTACGTATGTGTGCATGTATCTATAGTGTGCTTACCTTTAGAATATATCGTTGGATTGTAGGCGGCAAAATGACATGTTGGCATATTAATATTGTTCACTAAGCCCATTGACATGCGAGATACAGATGCCCGCTGAAATGAAAGAGAAATAAATATATTTTTAATAAAAAAGATGTGGTATATTATATTATATTATTAACACTAGAAAGACGGAAACTTTTTTTATACCTACATTGCCTCAAAGCAGTCAAAATGGCTGCATTGTGAAAAAATAGCTCATGTGTAAATAAATTTGTTTAAAAATAATTTTTAATATTTCTTATATCATTTGCAGTCATACGACAAGCTATTAGTAGCATAATATATATATAGTAATAGTTATATGGTATTGATGCTGATGTTAAGGTCAGTGTCGGGGATATGAAAGTAACATAACTCGCGTTCAAGGGGAATGAGATGCGTGGGAGGGCTTGGCATAAAGATTCGAATAACAAGTCACGTACGAGTGACGGTAATCAAAAAATATATGAACTGTTATACGAATTCGGAGCCGATCCGGGCATATAAGAAATTTACTCAAACCAATAATAAAAGTCATTTGATTATTTAAAACTTCCCAAGCAGTCAAAATGGCTTCCTTCGGCAATACAGGCGTAACATATATTTATACCGGATACAAAAGAGGGGATGGGAAAAAGAGGATAGAGGCAACTACTACGATTAATAAACGCATTTATATGTTGTACAAAAAGTCACAAAATTCTAAGAAACTGTGTTTTTATATTTACAATTGTTTTTATGATTGAAGTGGAAGTTTTAGTGTTAACAATGTTTTTATTATTACCTCTTACAAATAAAAAGTTAACGAATTCTCTTCATTGATTTTACTTCGCTAATAAAAATTTCAATTTTATATTGAAGAATTCCGCTTACCTTCTTTTTTATACCTATAAACATATCTCTGTCAAACCAAATATTTTTTTCAAATAATTTATTGTTTTTTATTTTATTATTATATGACTTTAATAAACGAGCTTAAATAGTAAAAGTTAAAGCCAATGAGACTAAGTGTATACAAGTAACATTTACCCTAGAAAAAGACACATGTCCTTCAATCCCTATAAATGGGAATACAACACCTCAGAAAGAATTCGTTACCTACCTGAGAGTTACATTGGATAAAAGACTCACCTGGAAAAACCACATGGACAAAAAGATTACTCAAACCAAATTGAAAATCGCGAATTTGCATTGGATTGCAGGTTCTAAGTCGAAACTAAGTCTAGAAAACAAAGTTTTACTTTTTAATAGGCTTATAAAGCCATCTTGGACGTACGGGATCCAAATTCGGGTCTCAGCATTAAAATCTAGCCTAAATAGAATTCAAAGACTGCAGTCTAAAAACGCCTTGGTATGTACAATAAAAAACTCCACAATTTACAACGATCTCGGGATTAAAACCGTCACCAAAGAAATAGAGAAACTGCTTAAAAATTACTCATTAAGTTTATCTAACCACCCAAACTTTCTAGCTAAAAAGTTACTACAGCAGAACTATCCTAAGCGATTTAAGAGAAAGGATTTACGTTTGAATTGTGACTAAGGGCACTGCCGCATCCAATTATTCTACATCGAAGTTGCGTTCCGCATATATCCTTCATGATATTATAATTTACTTCGAATTATCCTTTATGATACATCTTTTGTTAAATTTCGAACATAAGTGTTTGGTATCCCTAATGATAACTGTATAAACACATTCTTTGATAAATCTAAGTTATGTTCATAATTTATTGTACTTTGCTTACTTTGCTAATCTATACAGGGCTAATGATTCACTTGTTCCAGGAATAAGAATTAGCTGTAAGATTTTCGAAAATATTGATAGTTTCCAAAAACGAAAGATTCAATAAAACATTATACAAAAAAAAAATAGTTGCTCTTGAAGTGGTCTCTTGAGTTTTTGCAGAGCCAGAAGTCACATGATACTAAGTCCGGCGAATACGATGGTTGGGGAACGATATTCATGGAATTTTTAGCGAAATGGTCACGAAGAACGAGTTAAGTAAACACAAGCGTAACTAAAATACCAATGAAAACATTGACATAAAATTTGGCGTAGATGTCAATAACAGTGCTACCAACATTAAAAAAAAAGAAGCAACCGGAAATATGAAATGCGCGAGGCTTATTTTAAAAATTCATCTTGCTTTTTGCTCACCATAGAATACCATTTGATGTACATGAAGGGTATAAAAATGCCAAAAAAAAACATTTTCGCAATTTTATAATTATAAAAACAACAAACATTTGTTACTTATTTACATACATACATATGTAACCGTATGCACATATGCGTATGTATGCACACATATGCATACTTTGTGGAAAAAATGAATATTTGGAAAACACCATAATGCCGACAATAGCCTGCCTGCATTGTCCTTATTTAGCCTGCAAAGGATTTCCCTAATTTTCCTAATGCAAGGCGAAATGTTTTTCCAAACAACAAGGCAATCGCTAATAAGTAGGATTTGCCCGCGCTAAATATCATTGGCAGCGCCGCTATAAAATAAGCTACACAACAGCGTGTTTCAACAGTCTACGTCAGCCAGCGATAAATACAACTAATAGAAAAGCGCGAATTTTCAAACAAAAAAAGGATAAAAAAGTATTTTTTTTTTGTTGAAATCCAGAAATGCAAACACTTTTTACATTAACAACGCTCGCGTGCCTGCTGGCGATTCCAACAGTCACAAACGGCAGACCATCAGCAATGCCCAATGCGGAGGCAACAAAAGATTTGACGCATGAATTAGAAAGCATATTCCAACTTGGACCCGGCATGGCAATATTCAATACAGAGCATTTCACTGATGGACTGGAAGAAGATGAAATCGTGTGCATCGAACGACACATTGGCAAACCGTATTGTAGAGAAGTGATAAATTACACGCTCAAACTGGAGAATATCGAACCCGAACAATTCGAAGAATTCAAAGACTACTTCAGGGATGATGTGTTGGCGGAAGAGAGTGTGGAAAGTCGTATGGATGTTGATACGGCGCAAGAGGCGGCCAGCGGTAGTAATACAAGTATTATTTATCCTGAGGGCGTACTAGCTCAGAATTCCAAATGGTTGTTGGTGGTGCAACATGAACACTACAAACAGGGTGTACGGTTAGAGGAGTGTGTTCTTCAACAGGAGGGGGAGCATGCCTGCGCGGAGAATAGCACTTTGCCACTTGCAGCGAGCGCAAAATGTAAACAAAATTTCATTCATCGAGAGATGGTGGTGCTGGTGAATGGTGTGATGAAAGTTGAAAAGGTAGAATTGCCAAACACCTGCGAATGTACCAAGTGCGCAAAGGAAGCGTAGTGTTTTTAGGCTTTTAAGTGTATTTATTAATTTAAAGTTAGTTTTAATAAATATGGATAATTATCATAGTGTAATTTGTAAAGTTGTTGTGAAAAATTAAATATATTTAAGATGTTAAAAAAATTAATAGTTTCTCGGATCTTTATCATTTTACGAATATTCTACATGGGAGCATTTGTAGTAGCAAACTCTGGAAAATAAGCATCTATGGAATATTTATTTTCTCTGGATCCTCATCATTTACGAGACTATACTGCTCACAAATAACTGCAATAACCGCATTTTTCGATTAAAAAAGGTAATAGTAAAACCACGCATAGTCAAGAGTTTAATAGATTTTTAACGTCGGAGAGATGTAAGTTCACGACAATACTGAAATCGAAAGTGAGATTAATAATTCGGTAAAAATCACAGAAATGACTCAGCACTGACTTTATGAGTTTCAAAAACTGAACTTTAAACACATTTTCCTTGCGAAAGAAGAGGCAAAATAGGAAAAAATTATTAGTTTTTTTTAAAAAACTTCGGTCCACCGCTAAGTACGGCGGGTTGCAAATCATACAAGTATGCAGAAAATTCTGAGTTCGTATACCGATTGGATTTGCATCCGAAAAGTATTGTTGAAAAACTATTTTCTTGGTGGGCATTGGTAAAATGAATGACTTACGATGCATCTTGTTCAACCTGAACCCCTTTGTGGTCTTAATAAAAGTTAATTTTTGAACCGTTTTATTTGTGAAACTTCTAAGATATCGTCAAAACAACCGGGTCCGATAGTTCTGAACCTTTTTCTATACAAAGCCTTACGCCCGCATAGAAGATGTTCTACTACCTATATCTCTTCTACTTCCCAGCAGCTTCTGCATTTCTTCAATGTATGGTATCCCTAGTCTACCAACCTTAAAATCCAACGCGGAATTACTCTCACCGGCAAGTGATACTTTGGGCTGATTCGAAATTAAAGTCCTCTCTCGGCGTACGTGAGTCAAACTTTACAAGTTACTCAACATACCCGTCCTACTATAAAGCTCAGAAGCGTGAACGATGACAAAATCCATATGATTCGGTGTTGGCAGTTTTTAGGAGAGAAATTTTGCGTAAAATTTAATCCTCGCAGCTGATTGAAAGAGCTATACAAGATATAGAACAACATTGGGCTGGGAAGAGAAATACCTCCACTCTGAAAGCGAAAAGGCGTAATGCATACCGCGTTGTTGTAGATAATCGCGTAAGCGGTGTGCACGCCAGTGAAGAAGATGAAATCTTCTTCTTCTTTCCGCCAATAAGAAACTTTTAGCACTCTTCTAGGTGGCAAATATTCAATTCTGGCCTTGTTTATTGACTTATGCAGCAAAAGATGGATTGCTTCCAAGTGGATTCAGCTGTATCTTTGATATGTGGGCTCTCTACCTTTAATGAGATCCCAAAAGACTATCAAAGCATTATATTATATATTAATTATATATAATTATTATCAGAACTAGAAGTCTCTTTTTAAATGCGGTAATCTTCGCTTGAAAAATACTGCAGTGTTCTGTTAGACGGAATGCGATTCTGGTAGCTAAATTTGCGGAGAAGACACCACCACCCACTCTATTGGGGTTACCACCATCAAGTTGAGGTCTTTCTTGAAAGCGACTATTCATTTTAATGCAAGAAAAAATGCAACTAAAGGCCATTGAAGAATGCTTATGAAATTTTATGGTGAATCTGTGCCGGCAGCTAAGTCGGGCAAATATTGGGTTTTGATACTTAAAAAGTGGTGATTTCAACGTCGAAGGTAAAGAGGATGCTGATCAACCCAGAAGGCTTAAAGATAAGGAAATAGAGGCTTTACCACATCAAGAAAGTAAATTATTTGATGCGAAAGGTTATCGACTGCAACTATTGCGTTAGAGCTGTGCATCTGATGGGGAGATCAAAGACATCCACTTATCGCAAGAAAGATTTCATATTTCTCGAGGCTCTTTTCGATTCTGCAATTATCCCGAAAAGCGCTATCGATATCTATAAACCTCAAAATTAGTAATAATTTTTAAAAATTTTACTTATCGCTCAGAAAATAATTATAAAATATTAGGAGTAGTAAGAAGTTCGTTCGGTTTTTATCTAAGAGATGGCATTATTGTCAATAGTACTTGTGTTTGTTAGGATTGGCAAGGAGTCATTTACAACGAGCTGCTCCCCTATAGCCAAACGCTAAATTTGGCCCTCTACTGCCAACAAATGGACCGCTTGAAGGCAACGCTCATCCAGGAGAGGCCATATTTGATCAACAGAGGCCGAATTGTGTTCAATCAGCATAACGCCAGGCTCCACATCTCCACGTCCACATCCATGTCTTTAGTGATGCGCCAGAAGCTCCAGGAACTCGGATGGGAGGTCCCAATGCACCCGCTATATAGTCCGGACCTGGCACTATGTTCATGGCGAACGCGCTTAATGGTGAGAAGTTGGCCTCAAGAGAGACCTGTGAAGATTGGCTGTCCGGGTTTTTGACAATAGAGACGCAGCTTCCTACGAGAAGGGTATAATGAAGTTGACATCTCGTTGGCAACAAGTTTACACAAAGTTATCATATTTTGAAAAATCAATAAAAAAAACCGAACGAACCTTTTACTTGACCTAATATTAATATATATTTTTTCGATCAGATATAAATTTCATTTTTGACTTTTATATTTTCGGTCAATGAAAGGAAATTTACCAATTTGGAAGTACCTAAAATGTTTTGAGCGATTCGCTGTGATAAAAAAAAAATAAATATCAAGAATAAATTTTAATTTTTGAAAGCGGAAAATTTGCTTACAAAGGATTTTCTTATTTTTAATCAGGAAAATAGAATACAAAAAAAAATTATTATCTTTAAAGAAAATCTTAAAATTCAATTAACCTTAAATTTTTGTGATGAAAAAATAAAACTCAAGAGCAAACCTTTATTTTTAATCAAAAAACTTTAATATCAAGATAACAATTACTTCTGATAAGAAAAATTTAAAACTCAGTTATAAAGATTACTTTTGAGCAAAAATATAAAAATCAAAAATAAAAATTATATCTGATGTAAAAAGCTTAAAATAATTTTTGGGTTTTCGGTAGAACTGTGTCAGACCATATATATTTAGAAATAGTAAAAAAATTACAAAAACAGTTTTGAATGGTAGAAGTTTTAGCTGCTATTTTGAAAACCCCAACGTTTCTTAATCAGTTAGAATTTTAATTATTACTTTTAGAACGATATGCTTAATTTGAAAAATTATCAATTATTGATGATTGAAAATTTTTTATCGCAGAATAATAATTATTGAGTGATTTTTATTTAAAAAAAAAAAACTCATAAACACAATGCTAGTATAAAATTTCATATCATTTCATGTCGCTTGAATACTTACACCATGTGTTGGTATTGCATCCAAATCTACCAGTGGACAGGAAGACCGATGCTGTTGCTGAAATTTCGGTTGATACGGCTCCAGCATTCGAATTTTACCCCAACGATTAAAGAACAAAACAATGGCACCAACCCAAAGCATTAACACGAGTCCGACAATGATCACCTCCTCGGGTCGGACGACAATTTTGGGACCTAAGAGAAGAAGAATATAAAAGTTAATTAGAAATTAAAAAAGGAACTTTTATTTAAAGAAAATTTTGTTACAGCAAATAAAATTTTATTTAAAATCAAAAATTAGTTTAAAATTTAATTTCACTGCAAGCTAAAATTTGTCTTAATACAAGAACAAAAAATGATTTTCTCATTAAGAGAGTTGCCGCATTTTAATTTAAAGTAAACCAAAAATAACACACAAATTACCGTTAAAGTTGTGAATTTCAATTTTAAATTGGCATTTCCTTCGTTCAATTTGACAAATGAAGATAAATGAAATGAAAATCACATTAAAAACCAACACACCAACGCACACTGATTGATCTGGCAAAGAGTAAGTGATAATAGAATGCGCCAGGATGTGCTTAAGTTAATGCCGAAAGCAGTTCTACCGACGATTCTAGCAATAAAGTCAATGAGTCGCATTGTTGCACAAATCACTGCGACAACTTTTAATTACTACCTTAATGATAGGTAGATATACTGGTAATTTGTTTTAATTACTTCATACATACATACATACAAACGAGTAGTACTTACAGGGTAATACAGGGTAATGCAGGGAAGAGAAAGATTAAATTACATGAAACTTAATATATTCACATATAAATAGATATATACTATATATGTATACACATGTGGCCAGGAAAAGTTTATACGAGTACACATATCCTTGAATTGTCTGCTCGTGCATACATACACACATACATGTATCGCACGTGCATACGCGCCTTGAACTTTGTTACGCTTGTCAGCGCCCCTTGCCGATCACATTACTTATGCACATATTTTATATACATATTTTCATACTTGTTAACAGATTCCTTTTCTTCCTGCCTCATGTATTCGTTAAAATATGTTTGTGCATGGAGCAGAGAGAGAAAATATACAGATATTTGAGTATAGGTATGAGCATATGTTTCGTACTTATTATTGTTGTTATTGTCGTGTGTATTCCCACCTCCCTTGCTTCACCACACGTGCCACAACGGTTTGAGTTGGTATTGCGTGCGTTTCGCGTTAAGACTTTGATCCTTTCGTTCACCTTTTGTTTGGGAAAAGAAATATAATTTCCGCTCATTTTTTCTGGGGTATTTCATTACTCGATTGTCAAATGCACATGTGACGCCACAAGCGTATGTCATTTGGCCGCACGTATATATGTATAACAATGTATTGATATTTCACAGTATATATCGTGTTTATGTTGCTTGACAGCAGAAAAAGCGTATTATTAAAAATAATTTTTCGATATGTAAAATATTCTTGAGATATGTTTGGAATATTTTTAAAACTAAATGCGTAAATAAATTTGTTTAAAAATAATTGAATTAAAGTTGTCTAAACAAATAAAAAAATTTTGCTTGATATAAGTCCTAACTAATTTAATAATGCGGTAAATTATTTTATGTATTTAATTTTTTTTTTGGTTTTTCTTTATTTTCTTGCTTTATTTTATTAGATTTTAAAATTATTTAATTTAAATAAGTTGTTATAATTTANGCTTTTATTTTATTTTATTTTATTTTATTTTACTTTATTTTATTTCATTTTATTTCATTTTATATTAGTTAATTTTATTTTACTTTATGTTATTCTATTTTCCTCTTTTTTATTTTATGTTATTTTGCTTTTGTTTCATTTAATTTTTACCTTATTTTATTTTATTTTATGTCCTTAATTTTATTTCATGTTATTTTTTTCTTTTGTTTAATATAGTTTAATATTTCTTCATGTTATTTTGCTTTATTTTATTTTAGCTTTAATTAATTTAGTTATTTTTATTTTAGTTATTTTTTTTTAGTTTTTTTTTTATATTAATATCTTTTATTTTAATTTTTATTTTATTTTATTTTACCTTACCATTCTTATTTTATTTGGATCTGTTTTATGTTATTTCAGAGCATTTTATTTAAGTTTTGTTTAATTTAATGTTAGTTTATTTTGTTTCTTTTTTTTTGATTTTAGTTTATTTTGTTTTGTTATATTTTATTTTCTTTTAATTTATTAATACAATATATGTTATTTTAATTGATTTTATTCTTTCTAATATAATTTTATTTTATTTGGTTTATATTATTTTATTTAATCTTTTGTTTTATTTAACTGCAATTCAGATTATTTTTATTATATTTCATACTCATTCCAGCGTCTGTGTATTTAAACAAATTTTTACTTCACAGTATTCAGTAGTAGAGCGAGCAACATCAATTAGCTTTTACTCTGTGGCATACTTAAACACCAACTCTGCGCATAATTTGCGAATCTGTTTGTTTGGTATTTTGCAAGTGCTACTTAAAACGCGAATTCCATTTCAATCCACCCACTTTGTACGCTCGTTGTTTGTTGACTTATGTATGCCACTTTTCTTGTAATTATTTGCAGTCCACTTTGTTTTTGTGCAATTGAATATATTTGTAAGCGAATTACACAAATTTACCTCGAATTATTTTAGCATCCATTCAGTTTCCTGAATTTAGTGATTTAGTTTTTTTTTGCACTATGGGGTTCATTTTCTCCTATGGCATAGTCACCGCTTACGCGATTATAGCCGAATGAACTATTTACATCGCGCCATTGGCGCCTCCTGATCCTTCCAACGGAGTAGAGGTCTTCATTCCCTCTGCTTCCACCAGCAGGTACTGCATCAAATACTTTAAAAGACGACGTGACCTCGCCATCGTAGTCGCTGTTATCTACGATCTCGGGGTTATGACTGTCAACAAACATACAGACAATTTTTGTTCTTTTTCGATTCATTTTAATTTTTCGAGTATGAAAGCTGCATATCCAAGATTTGTAATAAGTGTTGATCTTGATAAAAATTTTCCTTAAACCTCAAGGTAAGTTCAAATAGTAACTTAAGTTAAAATATTTTTAATAAATCGCCTACTAATATATTGGTCAAGTAAAAGGTTCGTGTGGCATCATGTCATACTATACGGCGCTGAAAACGTCTTTATTACCGCTTAATATTTGTCTCGATTGAGTGACTCAGTACGTTGTGGGCGCTTCTCGTCAAAGATGAACACCAGCAAAAGGAAAATTCGCTAAAGTTTACAATTTTTCTTCGGTCAAGGCGAAAAAACAGCCAAAGCGGCTGAAAAAATTAATTTAGTTTATGGGTCCGGTACTGTAAACGAACGTGTAGCACAAAAGCTAGGTTCCGTTCCGGTAATTCCGATGTCAAAGATGCACCGGGATGTCTGTCGTCGAAAATTGCGATTAAATCGTTGGAATAGTGGAAGCAGACCGTCACGTGAGCACTGATTTTATTGCTGAGGAAGTAAAGATAAGCCAGAAAATCATTCGGAACCATTTGCATAATCTTGGTTTCAAAAAGAAACTCGATGTTTGGGTGCCGCACGAACTTACGCAAAAAAACCGAACTTCTATCTGCGAATCGCTGCTAAATCGCAACAAAAGCGACCCGTTTCTGAAGCGTATTGAGAAGGGCGTTGAAAAATGGATCGCTTACAACAACATCGAACACAAACGGTCATGTTGAAAGCTCGGGAAAGCGGCCCAGACGATGGCCAAGATCGGATTAACGGCCAGGGAGCTTTTGCTGTGTATTTGGTGAGCTGCTTCCCTATGGCAAAACGCTCAATTCGACTCTCTACTGCCAGAGGCCATCTTATATCAACAGAGGCCGAATTGGGTTCCATCAGGAAAACGCCAGGCCACACACGCATTTGGTGACCAATGGGAGGTCTCAATGCACCCACCTTATAGTCCGGACCTGGCACCAAGTAACTACCATCTTTTTCTGTCCATAGCGAACGCGCTTAATGGTGAGAAGTTGGCCTCAAGAGAGGCCAGTGAAAATTGGTTCTTCGAGTTGTTTGCCAATAGGGACGCAGCCTTCTTCGAGAGGGGTATAAAAAAGTTGCCATCTCACTTAAATCGGACAAATGTACACAAAGTTATCATATTTTGAAAAATCAATAAGAAACCGTACGAACTTTTTACTTAACCTAATACAAGATCTCTACAAGTATTCCAACACAGAGAAGCTGGATGACAGTATTTTATTTAAGACAATAAGAGTTTACTAACAAGCTCTCTGTAGTTACGGTTACCTAGAAAACTTGAAACAGTTGTCTTAAAAGATGTAAATGGTTCCATTTTCCAGATAATTCATAAAATTCTTCTTTTATCTTCGCATTACTTTTTCATGAGAAGTTTTCTTTTAAATACAAAAATCCTTTTAAATTGCGATCTATCGACTTCTTTCTTCAGCAGCTGGATTCGGTCACATTGAGCTCAAATTTACTAAGAAAAATTGCCTACACAAATATTAGTGCATACAAATACCTTTCTAAATAAGCAAATATTGCAGCCGGGATGAATTTCGAACTCAAAGTTTCAAGGTTTTTCGAAAAACCATCTTAAAACAGCACCTGAACTAGCAGAAATATTAAATTTTCTCTTCCTTTACTAGTAAATAAACTATCTTAAACAAACCTACAACTAGCACGATCAATATTTTACCTGCTTTGTATGAATAGCTGGAAATTTGTATCTCGATAAAGCAGACATAATTTTAATGCGACAATACGACAAAACTATAAATGCCGCAGTCGTCAACTTCAAATTTTAGATAAAAATTTGTCACACGATGAATATTTGTTAAAACGATTTGAGTGTCGAAACTAATGGAATTATTTGTTGTAAAAAGCGTGAAATCAATACATTTTTCCTTTTAATTTAAGATTTATATATGTTTTTATTATTATTAAAATTTTTCGTAAGGCTTTTTACTTTTTTTGTTGCATTTTGGCGACGGAAATTAAATTTTATAGAATTCATTAAATGGCAGACAGCTTTATGGCAATAACAACTTCTTGCTACAAGAGTTGCAGTTGCAACGAAAAGTCGCGCTGACGCCTAAGTGCTTGCAGCTTTAAACTTAAAGGATGTTAAGGTAGATTAAAATAAATAAATTCGAAAATTTAAAAGACAAAGGTCCAAAAAAT